CTAAAAAGCTTATATAGATAATATTATAGAATTAATCTACTTTTATTTACTTTTATTTTATCATATAGATAATTATTGATTTACATGTATATGCCCATGGCAATTATCTAACTTCAAATGAACTTGAAGAATTGTAAAAATCATTAGATGAACTTTTGGAAAAGAACCTGATTTAAAAAAGCATGTTGCCATGAAAATGACCTATATTCTTTGCACTCAAAAAAGATGGTCGATTTTAACTTTGCATCAGTTATCAAGGCTTCAATAAGCAAACTATAAAGAATACATATCCACTTCCATATTTAGATGATCTTCTTGACCAATTTTGACGTGCAACCATCTTTAGCAAAGTGAACCTTTGGAATGGTTATTGAAAAATTCCTATTGCTAAAGAGGATATAGAAAAGATAGCATTTTATATGTGTTATGGACATTTTGAATGGCTTGTATATCTTTTGGCTTTATCAATGCTTTAGCCTCTTTTATGGGTCACGTGAATAGATTATTTTGTGACCTTTTGAATAAGTATGTAGTTGTCTTTATTAATGATATCTTGATTTATAGTAAAATTCCTAAGAAGCATAACCAACATCTACATGAAGTACTACACCAGCTATGTGATAATTATTTTTATTGTAAGAAATCAAAGTGTGAATTTTGAAAGTTGGATGTCACTTTTTTGAAGCATGTAGTATCTTTTGAAGGCATGGGTAAGTTTGTTTGAAGATAAAAGGCCATAGACATGGCAAGTCGTGTACCTAATAGCTTGAACAAGGTTTGTCAAAAATTCCCCGCAAAGTGCAGGTCCTGACTTGAAACAATAATACGAGGTAATCTATAGTGGCAAAAGACAATGTCAAAGAAGACTTGTGCAAATATTAAAGCAATATTAGAGCACACTACAACCAAATATAGTTGCTTCAAGAATTGGTCTACAAATACAGCAATTGTACTGCAATTGTGAAGCATATGTGATAAATACGTAATGAAATTCATAGTCACTTGCTCCCAACATGCCATAATTATGTTTGGTTTTGTTTGGCTCTATTCTCTTTTACTCAATCCTATCTCTTAAGTTACATTCTGATTAATTACTTTCAATTTTGTTTTTGTGTGCTTCATCTTACGTAGTATCATGATCTTTGTTGTTCTAAATTTGATAAGATTTTAAACCTTAAAGAATCTGGTCATGTTTCACTACATAAAAATCAACAAAGATTTTTAAAGAACAAATTGAAATACATGTTAAGAAATAATATATTTAAAAATCATAATTTCAAGTTTGAACTATATTTTTAGAAACTTAGTTTTTTTTTTTAAAAAAAATTCAAACTTAGTGACTCTTAATATTTTTTTAACTAAAGATTTTATAATCATCAATCATGTATTTTTAATTAACTCAATAACATTCCAATAAATTAGAAAGTAATAATAAGATATACATACATATTCTTTATATTATTATATTAGATCAAACTAAGAATTTAATAGATATAGATAAATTTATTGTACAATTTAATAATATATGACTTAAATTGATTAAAAATTTATAATACTACATCATTTTTAATATTGATGTGAGCATTAAGATTTGGTAGTTGTTCTACCTTCACTACAAAATTTTGATATAAAGTCCAATTGAGTTAAATACGAACATCTTCAAGAATGCTTTAAAAAATATTAATATCATACTTAATTGGACTTTACATCAAAACTTCATTGCAAATTTGATAGAACAAATATCAAAGCTTGAAATTCACATCAATACTATAAATGATATGGCATCACAAGCTTTTTAATTTGCTATCTTTTTATTGCAATAAAATCTACTTCTAAACCTTCTAATAGTGATGCAAAGACATGCCAAAAGATACTCAAAAATGGTGCCAATAAGAGCAAGAAGTGTTCACTTCTAAGAACTACAAATTTCTAATTTTAGTAGAGACACTTAAATATGATGATGAAATTGGCATGTGGTGATGCCTCCGCCTGTCTAAGACTAAAGGACGTTGAAGCAAAATTGGAGGGAGTGCAGACCTTCAACTGAAGACCGGATGAAGAACGGATGACAACTTGATCAAATGAAAACCGGCTAAAGATTTGTTCGGATGAAGACCCAGGTGAAACCCTGACCGGATGAAGACCCAGGTGAAACCCTGACCGGATGAAGACCCAGATGAAACCCTGACCGGATGAAGACCGGATGATAACCTGGCCGGATGACGACCGGCTGAAGACCTGTGGGCAAAAGAACCAACAATGTGCACAAACGCACAACACCACGAGCTCCTTTGCTCCGGCGAAGATTAAAAACATCGCCTTTTCGAGCTTCACTCCATCAAAGATCAAAACAGCGAAGATCAAAACGCTCCCGGCTCGCTGTGCTCCAGTAACGGCTTAAAACTAGTTCGGCTGGCATTGCTTCGGTTATAATCCAAGCACTGCCCACCCACTAAGGCCCCAGCACCATCGCAGCAATATCGAACGCCGACCACCGCTGGCGACTTACAACCACGACAGTAAAAACCAGCAAGAATAACCACGAGCAAATCACGTCGGCGCCACCGCATGCACAAAACGAAATCCTGGATTGCCCCGCCGACTTCACCACCGCTGACAGCAATGGAATCAGTCTCCAAAACAGCAGCGAGACGAGGAGAAAAACCGACACCACCGCATGCCACTAGAGGAGTTTGCGATACAGTCTCGAAACACCTGAAACGAGTTAAAACAACCCGAGCTGCTCCGCCTTGTCACTCAAGAAGAGAATCCAACATACACCAAGAATCCCGACGCCGCGCCTATCGACGGTAACCGCAGGGCCAACACCAACAACAAGGAAGGGAAAGAGAACGACCGCAAGGTAGCAAGAACAACTGAACACCAGCACCTTGACGCTTCCACTGCAGTGTGACCAGGGAAGAGAAGCAACACCAAAATTGAACGATGGAGGAAATGACGGAACTCCACAACCCCGCAGCTCCACCGCAACACGCCGCGCTGCCCACCAGAACGGCAACCAAAATCGTAGCAGAGGCTACGAACCCAGCAACACCGCCGCCGAAACCAGAGCGAGAGAAAAGAAAAGAATAGCCAATTGTCGACCACACCACTGCGACACGAACGCCGCAACACACAAAATCGAACGACAAGCCACAGATTTAGCCGCAAAACAAGAAGTAAAATGTGGAGCTCCAGACCCCCGCACGAGAGAAAAATACAAAATAAATAAATAATCTGAACAGAACCCTGGGCTGCAAGTTGTCCGACCCTCTCCGACGGCAGCACAGGACGACATGTTTTATTTAATTTATTTAATTTATGTATTTATTTTATTTTTATTTTAAATATGAAAAATTATGCTATTATTCGAAATTCTAAATACTGATTCAATTTGGAACAGTAAAATTTTAATTTTTTTTATAAATCAATTCAGATGAAAATGTAATAGATGATTTATGGGACATATGTTAACTTAAACTCATTTTGAAGGTTATATATAAATTATTTTGGCTATATATGATATAAGATTTAAGCAAAAAGACCATTTATTTTATCATTGTTGAAGTCTTTGTAATTACCTTCGATTTTTAATTTTTTTTTGGAAAAAAAATCTATTTGTTTTTAAGTGCCATGAAATTCAGTATATATTTCTAATAATAGTTATATATTTATAAGATTTAGTAGTGCACTTAGAAAAGAACCTAAGCTAATACTAATTTTTAAAATCATTAATAATAATTTTGACGATTTTCGTATCAATGTATTTTTAATCAGAATTATTATAAAAAAAATAAAAAATAAAAAATAAATTGAATAAAAAGAACAAAATTTATTCAATAATACTAAATAATTCATGTTTGAATTGATTAAAAAAAATAAAAAACATATATATATATGTATATATATATATATATATATAATTTTATATCTTAAATTAAATTAATACTCAAGTTTATTTTTAGGATGAAATATATATATATATATATATATATATATACATATGTTAATTCCAAACTTACATTGTGTTAACATTTTGTTTTGACTATCCACAACTACAAATTATAGGTTGTAAAAGATTAATTTATAAAAAATGATTTTTAATAAGCATAGTAGATTATCATTGCTATTAACATTATTTTTAGCTATTTAAGTTATAAAATTAGATATTTAACGAATATCATAGAAATATTTGTTGAAACAGTATTAGCACATTTTTTTATTCTTGTATAAATAAACAATCCATGCAAATTCTATTTAGTTTTATTATTTTTATAAAATATAGAAACATTCTTTAAAAGGATTATATAAATATATCTATTTTTCAAAAAAAAAAATCTAAAACTTAATGTAATGCATCACTTAATAAAAGAATATAATTTTGATAAATGATAGAAGTCTTTATGTTTCTTGTTGTCATTGGCCTTCTATCTCGAATATACATTTTTCTTGATGTATAATCAAATTTTTCTATCAAATATCAAGAGTGTAAATTACACAACAAAGACCTTCAAATAAAAATAAAATAAATTGGAAAGTGTAAAGTTATTAGTGAAATAAGAGACTAATGACACAATGGTATCATAAAATATGGCATAGGATTCAACTTGCCAAGGAAAAATAAAGATATAGCATTATTTGTATAAAATTTCATTAAAGATACACATGGCCATACAAATTACCTCTAATCTTGTCCTAACTTTCAAAATCAATAACATGTGAAACAAATTCTATAATAAAACCAAATTTATTTCCACCATATAAAACAACTGCTCATCCAATCACTATTTTCTCATTCACCCATTTTCTTTTTACCAAAAAAAACATTAATACAAATGTTGTATTAACATACACAATGTTAAAATTGTTGTTGAGTACATGAGTTTAGCTGGAATCTAAGCAATGGTACTCCAATTTGCAAGCATGGGCCTCCTCCAAATTGAGAGGAAACAAACCAAATCCAATCACAAATCACAACAGTGTTTGATGGGAGGGCATTCATGTTGTGGTTTAGAGGGGGTTGTGGTGCTGCAACCCATGAAACTAACCCATGGCTTCCACTTGTCACCATCGCCGATTCTCCGATCTACCATAGCTCACCACCACCTCCACCGAGGAATTCCCGAATCCATGACTGAGGTTGGCATGGAATCCAGTTTGGCATGCAGTTGTTTTTGTTCAGCTTGAGAACAAAATTCCTCGGATCACAGTTGCAGACAAGTTATTTGCTTTCAAGGCAATCAAGGCCTTTCCACCCCCACACACGCACACACGGTGCCTCGGGAATGGATCCATGTGCTTTGAATCTTCTTCGCTCCTCCGCAGCTCTCGTGCGCCTCTCAATTCCTGCAACAATTCCACAACTGGGTTGTTGGGTTTCGATTCCATTTTGATCGAATTAGGGTTTTGGAATTCGGTTTCGCTCAGTTTTGTAGCTTGTAGGTGGGCGTTTCTGATTTCTGGCAAAGGTGTCGGTGGATGGAGTGGGTGGGTCCCGAATTCGGTGGCAGTTGTTGACAGGTTGGGGGTGGAATTAGAGTTTAGGTGTGCTGTCTGCTTGGAGTAAGGGTGATCGTGAACGTATTGCTCAGCAGGAGCTGTCGCAAGTGGTGGATACAAGCTCTCTTTTTAATTGAGCCGACAATACAGGCTTTGCGAGATTTTTTGATTGGTGGTCAGTGCTTGGATTGCTCAGCCGCAGAGAGGGTGTAGTTAGTGTTGTGTGGGTGGAGTTTGAAAGAGTGCAAGGATTGCCCTGAAGGAGAACCTTGCGAGAAGATTATGTCAAGCAGAAGGGAGGCAATGACGAAGACATGCTGGGACCTACGAGCTCATGTGCTAATCTCTCTGGCGTTAGTTTTGTGTTTAAGCAGTTTCACAGCATGTGCGGTACGTCGCGTGCTTCTCGAAATTATGTTTCATGATAATCGTTCCTTTTTGTGCGAAATAAGCTGAAAGTCTTGGCTGATGGCCATTTTTTATTTTATTTTATTTTGTTTTGTTTCGCCTGGTAATTTTTTTGGTCTCGTAGTTCAGTTAGGTGAGATGATTTCAGTGTGTTGGCAATTCAATTCCGGGCTTCTCACAGGGATCACTTCGTCAGAGTTTTTAGAACGTTGAATTGGATTCTGGACAACCCCGTTTTTCATAACTCTTCTCGAGTAAACATAGGTGTTTTATAATGTGTTTGGCATTACACGATTGTTTTGGTCCACTTTGGTCGTGTTGGATAAAGTTAGGGTTCGAAGATCAGGCTTTGCACAGTAGGGCCAGTATTTCGTCTTTGAAGTCTAATTCAAATCTTCTATTGGCGATGCAGGACAAATTTAGGGTCTCAGAGGAAAGGTGCGTTTGAGTGCAGTAGGGTTTTGCATTTTTAAAAAGAAAACAATCGATGGGTTCCTGTCTTGTTCCTTTAACTCGCAAATACCTTTGCAGGGTATGAGTCATCATGTTGTGATCATCTCGATGAAATTGTTGATTAAATGCTTGTCATACCAGGCAGCGGCAATTGCAGGAAGAGAAAGGCAGAGTGCATTGTTCCAGATCACGGAGTAGGACAGTCCGAGCTATTGTTTCTGAGGTATGCCTTTCTTTAGGCATTGAAGTTGTTGCTGAAAGTTGTGCTTAGTCTTCGATTGAAATCATAATTACAAAGATTCCTTAGATGGAGATAGCATCGTTGTAGTAGAGGTTGAGTACATAGAATAGATTAAGACCAGTATATTAAATCTTAGTGAGAGATCCTTCATCTGAAGATTGATCAACTTATGTCAATGAAATCTTGTCCACAAGTGGTATGTCTGAAGTGCCGAGTATGAGTTATTTGTAGAATGTCGTGCACGAAATTGTAGAGATGTATTACTGTAGAGATGCAATTTGTACAGAATTAGCCTTTTTGTAAGTGTGAGAACTCATCCTAAATGAAGCAATTTACTTTCTTGACGTTCACTTGAAATGTGTGGCCTGGAACTTGTGACAGTACTTAATGCCATTTGTGAAGGACCAAAAGTATACTTTGCCTAAAACCTGTCGTCTTCATCCCGACAATGATGTCTACCATGAGCAAGAGGAGAATATGATTGAATTACGACCTATGCAGTGGCAGTGTGGGTACTGCAAAAAAATATTCCGGAATCAAGGGTTCCTAGACCTGCATTTTGATAACCGCCACTCTGAGAAGCTTGAGCCGGTGAGATTATAGTTGTCTTTGAGTTTCATTTTAATTCAATTCTTTGCTTCTTTGTTTTACTTTTTAGTTATTGCTTTATGCAATACATTTATAAAGTACCTGTTTTGCTGTGCAGAGCTCAAATAGCTGTTTAGCTGATGCTTGTGGAGCATTGCATTGTGATTATTATAACAGTTTATCATCAAAGCCACAGATACAAGCTACATGCAAATTAGCTGTTGTGGAAAAAAATCGGCATTCATGTGAGGTGGGCGAGCTAGGTTAATGTCAACTTGAACCTATTGTGGTTGTTTGACTTTTTATTTTGTTTTGTTTATTTTTCCCTGCTGCCAGGTACTAGGGGTTTGTTTGATTCTTTCACTTAGATCATACATGAGATATCATTTTGGGCTTCAAAATATTGGGAGAGTAATTGCTGATCAAACCTAATGAACTAATTAGGAGAGTTTAAGGGTGCAAGTTCACATACCGAATAGTTCCAATTAGAATGAAATTTTGCTTCGTGGCTATAGTTTCCTCAGATGTAAATGTTTTCTCATCACGAAAAACAAATGGCATGTATATACATGTAAACAAGGGAGTTATGTTGTTTCTGTGCACCGGAACAGGTCTTGGCGAACACTTGCTTTCCAGCTGATCACAGTCCTGCTGCTCAGAGATTGAACCGTGCGAATCTTCTTACACTTGAGCTATTGAATGCGGAAATTTTTGCGAGTTCCTGTTTGTTTGATTTTCTACGTTTATTATGGCATTAGATAACGGTCATTTACGATGTTTTTCACTCATCTTCATGTCTGGTTCTGAAATTCTATGCCAGATTTCTTCAAACGGCAATTTTGCGATGCACACACCTGTAAGAAGAAGTTGAAGATTTTTCCTAGTGGAAGTGGGGTATGAGATATGAACACTCTATTCATTCAGTAGTCATGGTTTGAGATGAATGCAGAGCAATCTTTGCCTCGTATGTATAAGTCTTTGGGTTTGGATGTATAGATATTCATTGTTATTATACATATGTAGTCGTTTCCTGCTCCTGTTCCACTTACTTACATTGTGTGATCATTGTGATTGAGTACGTCCAGACAAATAACAATCCAGAAGATCTTTCTGAATGTTCTCAGAATTGAATCTTAGTGCCTTTATTATACTTCTAGAAACAGCTGCAATAGTGGTCCTTGATGGATAAATTTTGTGATATTGTAAATGATGCTATATCCGGTTATTGTCCCGTTAATTGTGCAGATAAACAGGAACAAATCTTTGATCTATGCATTAACATTGTTTACCGTAATAGTGCTGGCGATCTTCTACGCAATCTTGTATCTAATAAAGCGGTATCACTATTTCTACACCTATTTGTCTGTATCGTGGCGAATTTATAATAATCATTGACTGGCAATGAGTAGTTACACAAAGTCGCACAAGCGTATCAGCTTCTTTCACGAATGGCCAATGATTCTCTATTAGGTCCTCTATTAGTTGTTGGTCATGATTTTATAAATACTTCTATTATTTCAGAGGTTCATGCTTAGCTAGTGACCTCGTGTAAACTCGACTTCTTCACTTATTGATTTCTGTGTACTTGATTGAGCAGGGACACGAACCTGTTAAGGAAGGGCCTGCGGCGAGCTTCATTTAGACCACCCTGTAAAGTTCAGAAAGAATGATTGTGGGGCAGTAATTTGGTGACTGAAGAGGTTGGTCGCTCACATGAGCACTTGGCAGACCGATCCTTCTCATAGTTCCGTGCTTCTGGCCAGTTACCACACTTGGAACCACATCCCATCTTAGACTTTAATTGGGATGAACCAATTTGTACACTAGAAGAAATGTGGATATCTAACCATGTTTGAGTGTTCATTCCCACTGGCTATGTCTCATATGAGTTAACTGCATGTAGATGTCCTACGTGTTAGCAGCTGCCATGGAAATTCAACTGTGCTTCAAGTGGTTCGTTTTTGTTTGATGTTGTTGGCATTTACTGAATAAAATTGGATAACGCAACTTCCTCGGCATATTTTACTTCATGAGAAATGCTCAGGTAGGCTCTGCCTAACTTCTTGTGATGCTTGAAAATGGTTTGACAATCTTGGCAGCTTGAATTAAAGTTATGTTACTTGAGCATTGCTTTCAAATCATCTCTTGGTTTTAACATACACTAATTTTTGTTCTAACGGAACACACCATTGTTGCTTCCTTTCTTGCTCGTTTCAGTATGCATCATATGGATGATTAAATTCTAACTTGCGCATTGATTGTAAATGACAGGTGATAGCCAGTAAACAGCTATCTGTGATTGAAGGTCCAGTTCTGGAAATAAAACTTGATTTAGTAACTCATATGCAAAGAAACGCAACAATATAACTGGTTGGAAGTTGAACTTTGTTTAGTATTTAACACTGCGGTAAAAGAAATACACAACACAAGAAGATTGAAGATCAAAAAAGTTGATACGGAATTTTGTGTTAATAATTTTGGCAAAAATATTGTCTTGTGGATAATTTTTGAAAATAAGAGTCTAAGCTGTTGGGAAGAAAAGGAAGCACTTTTGAGTATGTTAATCTTTTACTTGTCTGGAAAAACCATATTCCGATTCAATTAATTTGGATATTTTTGTTTGTTTGTTCGTTTGACGACTTAAACTAAGAATTGAGCAGGATTAGGGTTATGTAATGCTATAAACAATATCATGTAGTGAACAACTATGGTATAGTGTAAATTAATTATGTTTGCATACCATTCTATATTGCATTGTAATATTACATTGAAAGAATGTTTTTACAGTATAATGGCCCATGTATTATAATAATGAAAAGTTAAAAAAGTAATAACATATGTTGTGTTAGTTTCTATCATTTAGAAAAATATATATTGTTGTTGATGCTAATTATTTGAATTTTACCTCTACTTCTTTCATTTTATAAATATTTTTATTCCAAATGATTAAAAACAAAGATAAAAATAAATAACCGAGTTGATAATATAATCATTTCTTAAATTTTCTATCGAACTTCTAATAAATAAAAGTAAAAAAAGATTAAACTAAGTTTTGATAATTTTTTAAGATTTTATTATACATATCAAAAGAAAATTGATTTAATTTTAGTTACATTAATAAACAAATATACAAAAAAAAATAAAGCATTAAAAATCAAAATAGTAAATTGAGATTCTATTGAATAGTACATAGTATCTTGAAGTTATATTATTAGTTTTAAAAATATGTATCATTCTCTTTCTTTCATGATATATAAATTGATAAAATCTTACATTAAAATCAAAATTATTATTGAGTATATTAAAGCTTCAAATCCACAATATCAATGTTATATCGTTTTTGAGTAATAGAAATTTACAAGATGGATGGTTTAATTTATATATAATTATTAAAGTAAATGTAACAAGGTTATAATTTTAAGAAAAAAAAGAGAAGAGAAACAATATAAATATTTTATTCCTAAAGAGACATCCAAAACTATTTTCACGTTTAAGTACTTTCCCAAGTTTTTATATGACATTTTAATACGATATATGCATCCAATTCAGAAATACGTCCACGTAGGCAAGGATTTCAGGAGTGTCCAGCGTGGCTCCTGAGACATCACGGGTCGGGAGTGGGCCGGGTCTTGCAAGCCGACCTTTTCACCCGTCTCAGAAAAAACGTAGATATCTCAGCAACCCCCAGAATCACCACAGCGTATGTTTTGTCTGCGGATATTCCACCTCCACCTTCAAAGCAGTGACTGCCACGCTACTATGTCAACTCATCTATGTATTGTACATACTTTTCATAGATGTATAGTTTGGGTCCATAAATCCAAAGCCAACACACGAAGACTTGTCGTGATCATGTACGTGAGGTGAGGACTTTGGGCCGAGGTTGAGTCTCGGCATGCGGATGGCTGTAGCGTGCGATGCCCGCGCGGCGATGGAAACCCTTTTTTGTGTCCTCTTCTCCTTTGATTCCCTTCGTCGTAGTTGCACGCAATGCCGCACTATGCGTGTCCCGGAAGTCCCGTAGTGTGATGAGAGGGCGAACGACACGGATCTGTTTCTGCGATATTTTTTAGTTCTTGAAGGGCAAATTTGGAGGAGTTTCGGGGAAGTTTGTAGGGGGTAGTCCAAGCACCTTCGGCTTGACGTCGGTGGTGGAAGCGAGGGGGAGGTTTTTTCTATGAGATCCATTAGGTTTTGGTGGGAGGATTGACGCATCTGCGGTTCACTTTCTTGTCGCGTGAGCAGGATCTGATTGAACTCGTTGGAATTGTTGGAATTGTTGGGATTGTTGGGATCGCATGAACTGAGACAGGTATTATGGTGGTTCTTGCATTATATTGCATGTGTCTGATGGCCGGGAGAGGATTTTGTTGAGATTGTTATTGGAAATTGTAGCACGATACTAAATTTGGAGCGAAATTAACGTTTTAGGTGTAGAGCTATGGTATCAGTTATCAAAAGTATGCTGGACTTAAAGTGGCAATAGTTTGTTGAGGTTGTATTTGAGTTTTTTCCATCAGGATCGAGAATTGGCTTTCTATAGGGAGGAATTCTGAGGTGTTCATTGATTCTTTTCCCAGAGGCGGTTTGGCGAGTTGAGTGTGATTTGTTGTGAATTTTTCAAGTACTCGAATGGGAGGACAATCTGGTCCAACTATGGACTCTGGTGATTTCTTTGACCAGTCCGAGTTTGTGCCATCCTCGAAGTCAAATGCACCATCGAAGCCTGTCCAAGTATGTATTCACTGCTCAATGTGAGATAGATTTTTTTGTAGATGTCTCAGATGTGTGTACTGATGATAGAAGCTTAAATTGCAGATTGATCTATTGTATTTGAAATTTTTAAAAAATAGTTATGCGTATTTTATTTGAAAAATGTGTTGATTGTGTCTTCGCGTTTCCCACTTAGGGCTTCACTAGCTTTGCTTTTACGGATTTTAGAATACATGCACCAAAACATGTCTGTTGAGTGTGTTTATGTCCGTACTCTGAATGTTCTGACTTCCTTACTTTGTCAGACGTAAGTTTTGATTCACTGAGAGCAAATTTTGAACGACGCTGCTCTACAACGTTCGGTCTATACTCTGTTCTGTTCTGTTCTATTCACCAAATATTTTAAAGTCTAATTGACCTTAAGAACGTTTTAAAGTGTTTCTGACTTGAAAAATACGTAAGACTCAAGATGCTATGTCTTTTATGACTTTCGCAGGATAGGAGCTCGTCGTCGTCAGGAAATGAGGCTGGGAAGATGGTTGTTGGAAATGGGAGTCCAGACTCCTACAAGGTTGTCTTTATTAAAGATAATGTATCTGTGCACCCAACTCAAAATGCTAGTGAACGTATCAGCGGACGCCTACGACTCATAAAGCAGGGGGCTTCTCTTTTCATGGTAGGAAGTTATCAACATTCTCGTCCATAAGCGATGCTACTGTAGTCGAAGCCCGCAGTACAATGTCGCTTTGTAATGCCCCTCAGATAAATAAACTAAATTTTTTCTGCGTTCTCTGAAAGCATAGCGCAGGTTGGGTCTTCGAATCTGGCGTTGATATTTTAACATGGGACCGGTCTTTGTACTATGCAGACATGGATTCCTTACACCGTTCAGGGCGCCGCGCGCCGTGGAACATCAATTATGAAATCCACAGAGAAAGGTGTGTATAGGGATTTATGAGTATATCGTTTCGTTCCACTCAGGACAACTTTACTGCTTGCTGGCGGAGATTGTGCATTTTGCATTTTGATCTCATTCTGACTGGCACTTGATCAACTTGATCATGGAAGTTGCCAGATAATATGTCGTGTGGTTGGTTGGTATTCTTAACAGACAGGAATTTGTACACGATTCGTGCAGTTTCTCTGGCAGAGATGCGGTCAATTCGTCGCCATACTCCACCCTTTGGTTTGCAGTATGTTATCATCGTTCTTACGTCAGGTTCGTTCTTTTTGTTACCTACCTTTTGAAGTGAATGGTAGTGCGAACATCTTGGTGTATCCTTGGTGTTGCGCAGCAACTGTCTTGGTCTTCTTTCACTCTAGTACTAGTGGTGGTTATCGTAAACGAGGTCGTTTTCTGACTGATGTTACTGCCCAAGATCTATCAGAGGATCTATTTTCTTGGTCAAGCGTTTATAGAGATTGGTTGTATTGTGCAGGTCTTGCATTTCCTCCCTTATACTTTCATACTGGTGGAGTTCGAGAGTTTTTATCAACTCTTAGAAATCATGCTCTGCTTGTGAGGTAAGTCAGAATGCGATCAAGATATGCTTTAGATTTTCATTTTTGTTTAGCGCGTGTAATTTTTGGAGGCAGCTTGTGTAGGCTGGGGTGGGCTGGATTTTTATCTTGAGAAGTATTATTTTAAGGAGCGATACCCCACGGATGTTCAGGGTTTTTTTAACATTTGAGATAGTGAAGTTAATTTTAGGAGTCCTTAATTTTTGAGGCCGTTCAACTCTTAATAGCAGTTTGTGTTACTGATAATTACTTGATGGCTTCGTTGTTCTGTGTTGTAAAAAGGATATATTTTATCTTAGATTAATTTGTTGTTCTTTCGGTGGTGAATACAGATCAAACGACGATTCAAATGTATATCTTGTGAACGATGTTCAAGACCCTTTACAGGTTAGTGCATTATCATAAGTAGTTGAGAATCATGTGGCTATTGAATTTGCACACCTCATTTATTTTAGACATCTTAATTCTGTATCTTTTTAATAAAAAAACTATGGTTAGCTTATAAATGAATCTTGAAGTTCAATTTTATTCAAGTCCATCTATATTTAACGAGATTTGTTAGTGATTACGTCTGAACTGCGTATCTTAGAATTATGTTCGATGGTGATTTGCATGTTTCAGAGGAGTCTTACATCACTGGAGCTTACGGAAGTAACTCCTGTATCAGTAATAACCCCCGCAGCCGAACCTCCTCCGGTTGTGACGAAGGAAGATGATGTTGAGCCAGTGCCGGAGGAGAGCATCACTAGCAGTAGCATGCATACATCCGTGTACAGACAAGGTGTTCGTAGGGAGGCATCTAGAGAAATTATAAATGTCTTGGAAAAGTTTTCTATGGTTACGAAATTTGCAAGGGATACGACAGCGCATCTGTTTGGAGAGAGCCGGTTTCTTGGAAACTCAGAGATGGATCTTGATCGGGCACCTATGAGGTTGGTTTTGCTGGCTCATTCATGGCGTTGTTGACTATCTCATAGCTCGAGATTCTCAGTAGATTTCGTTTTGTATCCTTAGTTTTTTATTTATTTCTTTATTCCTTATCTTATAAATGGATATTTCGTGATATCATTTGACAGGCTACGCAACGACGACGCTTCTAAGAGCAACATTGAATTCCAAACCTTGAATAGACCACAAGAATCTAACAGTGATGGTAAAGAAGCGGTAGCAAAGGGTGAAGATGAGACTCACAGAAGATTGACAGGAGTTGAGAAGGAGAAAATAGAACGGGGGGAGAAGGAGAAGAAAGAGGAGAAAGAGGAGAAAAAGAAAAGTGCAGAAGAAGAGGCAGCTACCAATGTAGGAACATTTGAGCTTGTTGATGGTACTCAGGTACACTTATCATATCAAATATTCTCTGAGTTGCATCGCTTATCTTGACCTCTCTAGCTTGGAAAAACCTTTAAATTTGGTTGAGATGTACATTCTGTACGTTAGACATCTACAGTGATAAGTCTTTTCTGATAAGTCTCTCGGTCTATGATAACCGCAGAATGATTCACCAGCTTTGGTGTGGGGACGAGCACGGCCACCACCTCTCGGTCATGAAGAGGTTTATCTCATTGAAAATCTGCTTAAATTCACAGCAAGTTGGTCATTTATTATCTTCGCCTATGGCTGTTCTTCAACTAATAGTGATCACTTCAGCCATTACTCTTACATAGATAGTTACTTTTGAATGTCGATTATTGAGCTTTTATGTGGGTGTGCAGTGGGCTACTTTCTTGGATAGCGAGGGCCGTGTAGTTGACCCAAAAGCTCTTAAAAAGCGTGTTTTTCATGGTGGAGTTGAACCCAACCTGCGTCCGGAGGTAACACAGTAACTTTGAGAAGGTTCCCCTTGTATGTTCAAGTTCAATATTGATCAGATCACACAGGTTATTAAAGATTTTTTAGCAAGTTTTCGCTACTTTCTGCTACTGGTCTAAGTTACGGGTCTACAGCAACAATGCTGTGTTCATGAATAATACATTTCTTCTTCTATCTGCTTTTTGCTTCAAAATTGGTAAAATTGTTTCCTGCCAACATCTGTGTGAATATGATTACTAATCTACTTAGAGTTTACCTCGGTAATTTACTGCACATGAACATTTGAGTGAATTTATCATCTGATCTATGTCTTTATCCTTTGTTTGCAGTTATGGAAATTTTTGCTCGGCCATTACAAGTTTGATTCTACATATGCAGAGCGAGAGGCCTTGGTAGCATTGAAACGTGAAGAGTACAAAGTCCTTCAGACACAGTGGAAGGTGCGGAACTCTATATATATTTGAAATGTCTCATTGTTTTACATATTGAACTATCTCGTCCTTGCCTATATAGTTTTCTCCTGCTTGGTACTGGTATCAACAGTTCTTTGTGTTCATTTGGTTAAAAGTCGATTCGGAACATGAATCCCCGAACTCTTTTTCTTAACTCACTTGACAATGGCGTGCAGACTGTATCTGAAGACCAAGCAAGGCGATTTGCTAAATTTCGGGAAAGGAAGCACCGAGTTGAGAAAGATGTGGTACATTTCTCCATCATCACTTAGTACCTATTTATACATAAGCCTCGTTGTAGAAAAATGGTTCATCAACTCCATTCTAATATATGTCGTTTTGGTTATAGGTGTTCTTTACTGGTTCTGCAAAGAAAGTACACGTGATCGTGAAGATTAAGTCATGCTTTTCAATGCTAGTAATGATAACGAGTAATGACATCATCTTGCAGGTTCGAACAGATCGAACTATTCCCTTTTACGAGGGTGATGACAACAAAAATGTGGATATTCTGCGTGACATCCTAGTGACGTACTCGTTTTACAATTTTGATCTGGGATACTGTCAGGTGAGTATTTGAAGTTATCTGATTTATGAAAGCCATTAGAAGTTGAGTTATATTCAACCAGCTTTTCAATCTGAAAGTAGGAAACTTCGATCGGAAGTGTCATATACTGATTCAAATATTCAAATGTGGGGAAAACGTACTCAGGGTATGAGCGATTTGCTGTCGCCAATTCTACATGTGGTTGTGGAAGAGTCAGAGGCTTTCTGGTGTTTTGCTGCCCTCATGGAGAGGATGGCTCCGAACTTCCATCGCGATCAAGCTGGGATGCAAGCACAACTCTCTGCTGTATCTAAGGTGAGCTTATATATGCTAAGGAACTCATTTAGTCAAAGTCCTTAATCTCTTAATTTACTGTTCAATATTTCTCACACGTTTAAACAACAGCTTTTCTGCACGAATTCGAAGAATCTGACAGTTCGTGGGTTTACTACAGTTGGTGCAGTTGCTGGATAATCCTCTGCATGATTATTTCAAGCAGAATGACTGCTTGAATTACTTCTTCTGCTTCCGGTGGATTCTGATCTGCTTTAAAAGGTCAGTATTGTCGTTTACCAAAGCTCCAAAGTAATGGCAAACTATTCTCACAAATGTGTACGTAAAACAGATGGCTTCATATACTTAAGCAGCGAGTCCTGTGCATTTTACAACTTGTATTTTCGGTACCATAATGCATTTCCTTATTTTCTGACGGGCAAACGTTTGAGTATGTTTGTTTGCAGGGAGTTTGATTATAACGACGTATTGAGACTGTGGGAAGTTCTCTGGAGTCACTACTTATCTGAACATTTCCACCTATATATGTGTGTGGCAATACTGAAGAGGCATCGTCGTAAGATCATGGATGAGCAAATGGAATTTGATACCCTGCTGAAGTTCATCAACGAACTGAGCGGGCACATTGAGTTGGAGTCTACTCTTCGCGACACAGAAGCTCTCTGCCTTTTTGCTGGGGAAAAAGGGACAGCATGTATTCCTCCTGGAACACCACCATCGCTTCCTGTGGTCGAAGTGGACGCTTTTCCCATGTCGTTGTAATAATTCACATGTTCACATTTTATGTACATAAGTTTTAGGTCTTTATTGTTGTCATTGGACGTGGTTCAAAACACAGTGATGTGAAGAACCCTTAAGAGATCATAAGTGCTGTGATAAACCATTTGTTCTCTGTTATGCACATATTGAAATAAAAGCGTTCTTTTTAGTGGGCACCGAATTTATAAAAGCGCATTTGGTAATAACGTCTTCTCAACGAATCGTCCGTATAATAATCTTGAGATACTTTACTGTGGTCTCATCCTTCGTTAAGGAAACAAAGTGAATAGCCACACGGTATCTAATTCTTAAGCTAAAAGTGAAGAAACGTTGTTGGTCAAACATGTAAAGTCTTCCATTAATATATACATTAGTCGCATGGCCACTTTCAAATTGATCCATTTTCTTTTTTTTTTTTTTTTTTAATCTTTTCAATCAAAATAAATAAATAGAACTAATACTTGTAATTCTAATAAGACGAGCCAGTTCAAAAATACAGTTGAGTAAAACAATTTCAATCAAGGCCCAAAATGATCATGTTGCCATAAAGATCACTCTTTTGAAATGGAATTTTATTCATCGATATAGTTTAGTTTTTTCTTAATAAAGTACAGATCCTGCAAGTAGATTTATAGTGAGAAAAAGCCATTTTTTTTTTTATTTCTGCTATCAATAAACATAACATCACCACAAGTTTAGAGCCAAAAGATATGACAAATTTTTATCACACTCTGTTGCAAGGAGAAGCAATGACCCACGCCACGTCGGCAGTCCACATGGCACACCCTTATTGGATTTCTTACGTAACGAGCTCTCATGGACAAGAGCTCTCTTCGCGCACGACGTTTTCCCACTTGCCAAAAATGCTTCGGGAACCGTCACAAATGAGGAGAACGCTTCCAGAGAACTCTAATCCCGAGTCCGATGGAGTTCCATAACGTTCCCTACGCTGGAATGACATTTGGGTTTATCTAGATCCTTCATTGGGGATATTGAGGGGAAATCTCGGAATGGAAACATCCAGGGCCAGAAGATCTATCAGTCTCACCTCCAGACTCTCCACGATTGTTGCTTTAGCAAATTTGGCACAGCCGGTCGTTGTTGTCACGATCGGTGTTGTTGCATTGTCGTGTCGTCGTCGGTTGTATGAATCACTCGTTTGGAGTTTTGTTGTGAAGGAATACTGGTTGCGGATTGTTGTGTGGAACAGCTGTAAGTTGCGTGCTGAAGAGCGTTTCGCCCTCAGTGTTGTACTTCTGACGACAAGGGTTGCCCATGTGAGGTCTCGCGCTACGGGGACCGCTCCTCACTAGCCATGGCAAGCACATCCCCTGTGAATTTGCGGCTTTTCGTCTATTTCCTGCTTCTCATTGTGGTGGCGGTGGATGCGAAGAAGGACCTGTATAAGGTGACCAACCTCCATCCTTAATTCTGTGCCGAATTTTCTGCTTCTCGTGCACGTTGTGCACTTTCTTGTGAGCTCAGCGTGAAACTTGTAGACTGCCTTTGTAGTCACGATTGTGATTTTGAGGAATAGCTTCGCAAATGTGTGTTGAAAAATTGAATGGAACGACAGTCGCTGGACGGAGCATAGTTACTGAATGACGTAGCTTGGTTTGAATGTGCAAATCATTCTTCAAGTTAGAGAATGAATACACACACTTCGAACGTAATAAACCCTTCAACTATATTCAAGTCTCAGATTCCAGAGCTTCTGCATAGCTGTTCAATTCTGCAGTTCGGAGATGAAGGAGTCGTGGAAGTTTTCGGAGCTCCTTAAGCATAGTTGTCATGTTCTAACACGAAATAGGTGATTGTGGATATAGAAGATAGATTTTCAGCAATGTAGTGATTAGGTATAGATCTCCTACTTATTGAGAGGAGGTTTCTTGCCCTGAGAATTTCATTTTCCTACGTGGATTATTTTTCTTGCTTTCTGAACCCTACATGTGGTTAACGGTGTTTGGATTTCAGGTTCTAGGAGTTGATAAGAATGCTAGTGATCGAGAGATCAAGAAAGCGTTTCACAAGTGAGTATCTCTGGAGCTCGGTGTTGGCGTTGTACTGTCTCTTGGCTGTCCACGTTTATATCTGTCTTCTAAGTTTTGTCAGCGTCAATGAATCTTAAAGCGCGCAAGGTTACTTTGGTTGCACATTGTGGAGATGTTATATGCGACAAAAGTTCTTTTGTGAATTTCCTAATGAGTTGTAACTTCGGGTTGGAGTTGAATGGACTGAGATGTCAATTTATCGTACAAACATGTAGATCGTGGAAATCACGTTGTACCTTTTCTGTAGTTATGAGAAGTTTAATTGGGAGGTTCTCACGAAGTTTTGTTACAAAGTTTGCGGGTCCTGACATCTTTGTTTGATCTGCATTGAACAGGCAATCGCTTAAGTATCATCCTGACAAGAATAAAGCAAAAAATGCCCAATCAAAGTTCGAGGAAATTAGTCACGGTATGTTGTCTTACTCTCATGGTGTGCCATTAATGAATATGATCCATGCATATGACGTGAGGTTTTAGGGCTTTTGTTCAAGTTATGATTTTAACTGGACGTAAGGATTGTTCATTAAATAAGTTCGACCTTGAAACAATAAGTAAAGAACTTCTTGCTTTTGTTTTCTACTGGAAATTCCTCTTATTTTAAGTTCAAACCTTTATCTCAGTTCAAAATATATTAAATTTCGATCCGTTTATGAGGAAATCCTTGCGTAAGAACATTTCATTATAGTTTTCTGTAAGGTAGAGCTCTATGACACCACGCACATTTCTGTGCCCACTCATCCATGTAAACTTGTATTGCAGCATATGAAATACTCTCTGACGCTGACAAGAGGAAGCAGTATGATCTGGTCGGCGATGAAACGGGTCATGGATTTGGAGGTGCAAATTTTGGAGGGCAATATGGAGGACAACAGTTTCAGAGTGACGGTCCGTTCTTCCAATCTGGTGGGCCCGGTGGTCGAACATTTACCTTCACATTTGGTGGTCCTAACCAAGGTGGAGGGGATGATCATGGTTTTTCACAGTTTTTCGGCAATTCTCAATCGGGGCGTCAATCAAGACAAAAGCAAAACAACAAAAGGCAGGCTGGGGCACAATCAGGTTGGGCTAAAAATATTTACGACAAGTTCGCTGGGAATGGAGATGGAGACTCTGGTTTTGGGAACTTTGGAAACTTTGCAAACTTTGGAGGAGGGATGTTCGACAATCTTTTTAGCTCCTTCACTGGGGGAGGTGGAGAGCCGAAACAGGGAGAAAACATTTCTCGGAAGACTGTCAATGTACCCAAAGGGGTCGAAAAAATAGGTCCTAAAAAGTTCAAGACACAGGTGTTGGGGACCGAAAAAGTCTCTTGGGTTATTTTATATTACATGCCAGACTCTCCTGGAATAAGTGACAAACTGAAGGCCCTGGCATATTTTGCTGAAGAGATGAAGGGAATAGTTAAGGTGAGATTAGGATCGGTTCCCGTAAATTATTGTTTTTTTCTCTTAAATTTTTTTTAATCATGTTTTTGATATCTTCGATTGATTACAATTTCAGGTTTTTACAAGACAATGTTTTATTCTGTTTGTTTATATTCACATAAAAAAGTTCTGGGTTTCGGAGTGGACGTTAACAGAAGTTGTTGGACCAGGTTGGTGCAGTTGACTGTGATAGTCAAGATAAATTTTGTAAAGAGCAAGAAATCCAACAATTTCCTAAGCTTCTAATCTATCCCTTGAGGGCGGGAGGAAGGGCTAAGCCAGTGCCATATAATGGCGACTGGACAATAAAAGCTGTGAAAAAATTCATCAACCAGCAGTTTTCCCCCTTCACAATCACACTTACTCACGAGAATTTTGTGGAAGTCATGTCGAAGGATCAAGAGCGACCGTTGGCTATTTTGGTCAGAAAGACCAAGGACCATCCAGTTTCATGGGTTGCCTTGTGCGCAGAGTTTGAGAAGCGGGTTGACTGTTATGACACCAAAGTGAGAACTCTCTCATTCTCGTATTTTATTCTTAATCACCATTGTTTGACAAAAAGAGATTTTGTAATTCGTGCTGTTAGAAATACGCTATCGTTGCAAGTATCACTTTGGGTTTGAGCTTTGAAAAGCTTGCTTATGCAATAAATCTAACTGGTGGTACGCTATCCTGACAGTAATGTTGAAATTAAATTCTAAACACCCTGTTCGCTTACACCATACCACGAAAATGCTTGTGGCATTGACAATCAGCATCGTTTATGCTTGCTAAATGGCAATGATCTATGCAGGTTACCAGTGACGAGGATCCTCTTGCTAAGAAACTTGGAGTAAAGGAATTTCCAGAAGTTGTAGGACTTTTGCCCAACGGGGATCGTCTTCATCCAGACGGTAGAGTTTTTGACGAATCGCTACCTAAAACTGTAGGATCTCTAAGAACATTCCTGGAGAAGCTAGAGAAGAACCAGGATCTTGAGAGCAACGAGCCTAATGCTGTCCCTGTTCCTCACTTAACCAAAACAAATATGAAGAAAGTATGTGGTCCAGATTCATCGTTGTGTATCATTGCTGCATCAAAATCCAGCAAAGGAGAAGAGAAGTCGAAACGGATTCTTACCGAGGTTAGTTATCATTCACATTCCGGTACTCCAGAGGTCGATGTAGCAACGCTTTTGGACGTCTTTCAGATCTAGAACTTATTCTCTGTTCCGAAAATGGACTTCTGGTTTTCATTCATAAACCATGGGTCTTTGAACATGATGCATGGGCCAGATTTCATGATAGATTTGTTATAATGTTATTCGTTTCTCTTATTGTACTATGTTACTGTATACACCGAATGAAATTTCTTAGAAATAACAGTATTTGTGTTCGGTGCAGATATCACAAAAGTCGCTTGTTAGAAAATCACATGGAAAAGGTCAGCCAGTATCATACAGCCTGGTGGATGCAGCGAAACGGAAAACCTTCATGAAAGCATTTTCTGCGGTGGATCTCTCCAGCATTGACACAGTTTTGGTGGCCTACAAGCCTCGCAGAGGCAGGTCAGCATTGTATAGGGGACCATTGACGCTTGAAGGGGTTGAAGACTTTGTCACCAAAGCATTGGTTGGTGATGTTACCTTCGAGCCTGTATATGAGACACCGACGCTATGATAGTCTAGAGTAGGTTAGTGTTGTCATCCAAATACCTGTGCATATTAGGATGAGAATTTTGAGAAAAGATTACGGCCCATTTCCTGAGTTTCTCCATTTGCTTATATTGCCCATTATATTGTCGTTTAGTGAAATCAAAAAATTATTACATCCATTCTCATCTTCCTCAAAACTTGGCCTAGACGGGTAAAAAGAAAACATAATCGATTATCTTCAATAGCTAGTTTCACAATTCTAGCTGATTACCTGGGACGTATTTAAAGACTCATTGAAATTTTGAAGCAAATGAAATTTTGATGGAGAGGCATCTATCTAAAGAGGAGAGAAATAAAATGTTCAAGAAGAGGAGAGCAATTGAATAATCGTTGTCTTACATTAAAATAATGTTCTATGGCTGGCATGTTATTAGTAGCACAACACAAAAATATCATGTGGTGAATACAACATTGAAACCTGTTCATTTCAATAATTAATCTTTATGATGACATTAATAACTTGACTAATATGACATGATATTACTAAGTTTTTTTTGAAATAATTGATGTTTTATGGCACGAATCCAATAGTATGTCAATTGTGATAAACAAATATATTAGAATTTAATCTTTCATTTTTTAATTTTTAAAATTTAAATTTTTTTTTTTTTACGAAGTTTTGAAAGTATTCTAGCTTTAGTTGTAGAAGATAATTTATAGAATAATAAACTTGATAGAGACTTTGTATATTATTTTTGGATATTATTATAAAAATCTAAAATTTTCTATTTATCAACATTAATTTTATGTTGATTCCAATTCGATTGGATAAATTATCAAATATTTTATCATTTGATTCATAATTAAGAATTCTTTTTGCAATTTTTTGTTTGTATTGATTATTTTTGGAAGAAAAAATTAATTTTTTCTAATGAATTTCAACTAATTAGTTTGAGCATTATTTAATCCAATTAAACCAATTAGATTAAAAAAATATTTAATAATCTAAAATATAGGTTTTTAATGACTAATTATGTTTTATTAGAGAATCTTATAAGAAACAAGAAAGAGATAGGAATTTTATTGGAAGAGATTCTATAATACATATATATAGAATGAAACTTTGCACAACATCCTACACATATATATTTGTAGTTTTTAATTTTTTAATTTTAAAAATTTACTATGTTTTTCTATTCTTTTGTAAACAACAACCTTAACCATTTTTATTATTGAAAACTAGTTAATATTCTTAAATCTAATTTTTTAAACAAAATTCTAATACTAAGCTTTATAAGCATTATCATTAATATATTTGCCATCCTAAACTTTGTTTTTATTTAATTTACTTTGTTTAGTTTTGTTTAGTTTTTATAAAATAAAATATATCCAATGCTTAGATTATAAAGAGATAGAATACAAAGAAAACTCAAATGCTAATACCTTTTTGGACAAATATAAGAGCAAGAAAATAAAACTAACAAACTATTACCAGACTAAATTAGTTTTTTAGTTTATCATAGAGAACATTGCCATTTTGTAGTACCTTCAAGTTCTATTTGATTGTCATATTGGATTTGGATCCAATTATGTTTCTTGATATTCAAGTTCTATCCTATCTTTTGAAGAGTATTAACTTATATTTATGATTGGTTTCAATCTTGTGTATGATTTTCCATACAATTTATCTATATTTAATGAGTGTTTGTAAATTATTTTCTGTAGTATAATAATTGGTCCATATTTTTGATTCAAAGATAAATTTTTCTCTTTGAATCCATATTGTTTAAATATATAGTTTATTTGATAAAGAACAAATAATAAGAGATTTCTTAAACCAAAGAAAGCATGGCTATGCAAAAATTTCTTAGTTTCAATAGAAAACTTTCGAAGAGCTTTGTTTTTTAGAACTTGAGACTAACTTGTACATCACTAAAGTAGCTTAATCCCAAATTTGTTTTCTTTGAATACTTTCTCAAAATCTATTTAAAATACTATGTTATTTGGTAGAATAATATATGAAGCAATTAAGATCTATATTAGAGCTAAAATATTTTTTTGTTTATTGACAACTACATGCTTATAATAGATTAGTCAAATGAATATTGCCTCATTGCAAGCACAAGGTCTAAGCCTCACATCCTACCATTTAATAAAGAAATTAGACTCTAAAAAATAATTCAATTTTTTAGTATTTAAAATAAAAGAGACTTGGTTTTTACATAATATATATTTTCTAAAATTTTACTATATATTTTAATATATTATCTTTAGTTGATTAGAAATAGTTATTAAGATCACAGTCCAATTTGTTTAAAAGACTACAAAAGAGTTTTATGTTTTATCTTCAAAGTACTTATAGATAGTTTTTGAAGCAATTTTATCAATTTATATAAAACCTTTCACTTGATATTTTAATTCATTTAAATAAGGCTTTTATTGATTGATCAATAAATTTTAATCATGACATAATCTTCTTCATTGTAAAACAACACAATAAATTTCTATTTTTTTCTTTTTTCTTTTTTAATGTAAACCATTTTTTCTCTATCATCTCTTCATAATAAAATAAAATTTTAAACAAATTATAAAAATACTATAATAAGAAGAATATATAAGCCTATCTAATTGTAAATTTGGGAGGTAAAATTTGCTTTTGTATAGAGCAAATCCAAGGTTTTAGAAGATAGTAATTTAGATGGATCTAAAACTCATGTATCATTTGATTGTATTTTGAATTGTATTTGGATTCTTATAATAAAGAATGATTAAATTTATTAAATACGTGTTTGATTATTTGGAGCTTATTGGCATCAAATGAAACAACATCAACCAAAGTGATATGACCATTTAAAAGAAGAATTGATAAATTCTACCAAAGAAATCTATTCTAGACTAAATAATATAATTTAAGATTTTATAGGTAAATAAATAGTGTTATAGACATTCATATTTTTAAAATTTTATTCCAATTATTTAAGTTTGAATTCCATTTATGCTTTGTATACAATGACCATTTAAAATCAAGTCTCTATTTTTTAAAAGCTATCAATTTTATGTGCATTAGCTTATGCCATAAAATAATTTGTATATTTGATATATTTGGTTGTAATGCATATATTATCTAATTGGCTAAAAGAACTTTAATTGCATCTTATGGATTAATTCAATCTAAACTTTTAATTTCCTTGAATTTGCAATATGTCCATCTATACTACTTTAAAAAAATTTAGATTTAGAATATTACTTTATATAAAGCTTGAAATCAAAAAAATTAATTTATGAATATTTTTTGATGTACCTAATCATATAATATAAGAAAAATATAAAAATAATAATATAATATATATAAAAATATATATTATTTAAATAAATAAAAATAAAATATATAAATAAAGGTAAAAGTATCTAACCACATGTTGGTTACTTGTCTTGGCAAATTGGCCACATGCTTGCTTGACAAGTTGAATACATGTTGGCTATTTTTCTTAGCAATTACATGACTTTCTTAATAGCTAATATATATGGAGACAAAAGCAAAGCCATCTTTATTCTTGTCAATACCTTTTTTTGTATATTAGTTTTAATTTAAGCCTTTTTAATCTTTTTGTATTTAAAAATAGTCATTTGAGTTTTTTTTAATCCTATAACCATCGCTTCTTTCTTTACTTTCTATCTTCTTTAAAGACACAAGAGGGTATTTTCTTTTCAAAATTTTATTATAACTTATATCCTAGATAGTTTGACAAGAATATTAACTTGTTATAGCTATTTTGTTTAAGAATTAAATAGATTATTTCACTTCTTAAGAAATATTATCATTATTATTATTATTATTATTATTATTATTATTTTCAAAAATTATGGATTATCCACCTTCGAAGTTTTTTTTTTTTTTTTTTTTTTTTTTTTTTTTTTTTTTAATATTAATTTTTTCATAAAGAGAGTAAATTAATTTTTTTATTTAATATTTGAGATTGAAGATTTTATTTTGATTTTTTTTTATAATTTATAATCTTTTTTATTATTAATATAGAAGAAAGAAATACTACACTTGATAGAAGTAAGAATAGATTTACAATTATTGTGGATCTTTACAAATTTTTAATTATATTTTGAGTAAAAATCTTATATATTAGAAATTTTAAAATCCTAATATAATATAAAGAATAACAAGATCTCTTTAAGAAGAAAAATGCTAATAATTTGTCAAAATAGAGATCTTATAATTGTCTAATTGCCCAAATCTTACATAGAATTTTATTCAATACTTAAAATTTCTTTTAAGTATACTAATTTTCTTGGTGAAGAAAAAAGATTAATCCTTAAAAAATGTGTAGATTATTATGATTTTTTAAAAATTGACTATCATGAATTGTTATTTTATATTTTTAATATTAAATCTCTTTGATTATTTGAGTGAATCTTAGATCTATATTAAGATAGATATACAAAGAATATAGATCTTGGTACATATTAAATAGAGGCATAAATGAAAGACTATATTTTAAATAAGATATGACTATTTTGAATATAATATCATGTCTTTTGGATTTTTAAATGCTCCAATTACTTTCTAGTATTTGACAAATGATATATTTTATGAATATTTAGATTATTTTATGTATGTTACTTTAAAAACATCATTATTTGTTTCAAGAATATAAAAGAATATAAAAAATATATATGCCTTATATTACAAAAATTTAGAAATATAGGACTAAGTTTAGATTAAAAAATGTATATTTTATACAATCCAAGTATAACTTTTAGAATATATATCTATTTTCAAATGATGATTTGAAAATAGATTTTAAGAAGATATAGACTACAATGAATAAATATAAAAGTATTTAGGTACATGTTGGCTACTTATCTTGGCAAGTTGATAACATTTTGGCTTTATAAGTAGACTATATGTTGGGTACTTGTCTTAACAACCAAATGAATTTTTCAATAGCTAGTATGAATGGAGACAAGAATGAAGCTATCTTAATCCTTGTCAATTCTTTTTTATATATATTAACTTTAGCTTAAGATTCTTTAATCTATTTATATTAAATATTAATTATTTTAATTATTAATTATTTTATAAATATCTTTCATTTTTATGCCCTCTATCTTCTTTATGAGTACAGGAGTGTATTGTGTTTTCAAATTTTTGTTGTGCTTTATGTCCTTGAAAAAAGTTTATTTA